TGCTTTTGGCATCTTCATCATGAAATCTTTGCCAGACAGGGAACTAATTTTTAACCCAGAATTCTGATTTGTAAAGTTAGAACGGGGGTTATAATGAGATATTCCACTTTCCTTTTGTTGTATTCTTCCAGTTCACAATCCATAGTCACTTTTTTAAAAAAATTTACTTTTACAGACAAGAGTCACTCTGTCACCCAGATTGGATGGAGTACAGTGGCATGATCATAGCTCATTGCAACCTCAAACTCCTGGGCTTAAGCAATCCTCTTGCCTTAGCCTCCTGAGTAGTCAGGGCTATAGATGCATACCACCATGACTGGCTAATGTTTTTAAACTACCTTTTGCAGAAATGGGGTCGTCTCACTATGTTGACCAGGGTGGTTTTGAACTCTGGGCCTCAGGTGATTCTCCCACCTTGGCCTCCCAAATTTCTGAAATTATAGGCCCATACTCACTTTTCCAGAGAAACTTCACTGAGCAGATGAGTTATCAGAGAATTTCATGGAAGAAATAGACTTTGAGCAAAGGAGTAGAGAAATCTTGAGAGATTCTCATTATGAACATGTCAGAATAATCTGAGAGTAATTAGAATTTCTATAGAGAGATGACATCAACTCTCACATTCACATAAGGTATAAAAAGTAAACAACTCTTGATGCTTCCTAGAAAGACATAAAGAGGAGTTTACTTTTTTTTTTTTTTTTTTTTTGAGATGGAGTTTCACTCTTGTTACCCAGGCTGGAGTGCAATGGCACAATCTCGGCTCACTGCAACCTCCGCCTCCCGGGTTCAGGCAATTCCCCTGCCTCAGCCTCCTGAGTAGCTGGGATTACAGGCACGTGCCGCCATGCCCAGCTAATTTTTTGCATTTTTAGTAGAGACGGGGTTTCACCATGTTGACCAGGATGGTCTCGATCTCTTGACCTTGTGATCCACCTGCCTCGGCCTCCCAAAGTGCTGGGATTACAAGCTTGAGCCACCACGTCCGGCAAGTTTACTTTTTATACCTTACGTGAATGTGAGAGTTTCTGTCATCAATTCATCCTTGGTAGCTAATGGGATGAGTTGTTGAAGTTACATTCATTCACAAAGGTGGAACAGTGAGGGAGCACTTAGTGCCAAGTACCCTGTGAAGCATACACTATGTATCTCTCAGAATACAGCAACTCTATGAAATAAGTGTTACATATCCTTGTCATGGTTGAATTATGTACCCCCAAACAATATGTCCAAGTCCTAACCCCAGGTACCTGTGAAAGTGACCTTGTTTGGAAATAAGGTCTTTGCAGATGTAATGTTAAGATGAAGGCATATGGAATATGGTGGACTCTAAGCCCAATGTGACTGGTGTCCTTATAAGAACAGGAGAAGATACAGAAAACACAGAAAAAAGATGATGTGAAAATACAAAAGGAAAATGTCACATAATGACAAAGTCAAGAGATTGGAGTCACATGTCTATAAAGCAAGGAATGCCAAGGATTGCTGGTAGAAGAGGCAAGAAGGGATTCTTCCCCAGAGCCTTCAAAGGAAGCACAGCTCTGCTGTATTAGTCCGCTCTTGCACCGCCATAAAGAAATACCTGAGACTGGGTAATTTATCAAGAAAAGACGTTTAACTGGCTCATGGTTCCATAAGCCTCACAGGAAGCATGGTGGCATCTGCCTTTGGGGAGGCCTCAGGGAGCTTTTATTCATGGTGAAGGCAAAGCAGGAGCAGGTGTCTTACATGGCAGGAGCAGGAGGAAGACAGAAGGGGGAGGTGGTATACACTTTTAAACACTCATGAGAACTCACAAGAGCTCACTCACTCACTATCATGAGAACAGCACTGAAGGGATGGTGCTAAACCATTCATGTGAAATTGTCCCCATGATCCAATCACCTCCTACCAGGCCCCACCTCCAACACTGGAGATTACAATTGAACATGAGATTTGGGTGAACACAGATCCAAACCGTATACCCTGCTGACACCTTGATTTCAGACTTCTGGCCTTCAGAACTGTGAGAGAATAAATTTCTGTTGTTTTAAGCAACGCTGTTTGTGATACTTCGTTAAGACAGTCCTAGGGGGCTAGTACAATCTCTGTTTTTCAAATGAAGTAAGGGATGCTTGGAAATGCTGATTTACCCAATTGCAGTTGCTTAGAGCTCCCAGACTGCAAACTCTTGCAGCCCATGCTCCTTTACTCTCCTGCTGGTTGATTTAGCCTATTAGGTGATGGTTCTCTTTCTCTACTGTTAAAATCATATTCGAGATAAATGACAACATCTTTGAGATAAATTTCATGACAACATCAGCATTTCCTCAAGTCTAATTGTGCAGAATATTAGTTCTATGAGATGTTAGACTGCATTAGCATGCAAAAAAGTTTTCAAGGTTAAATAAAAGAGAGAAATTCTGGGTAAATCAGGCTTTTTTTTTTTTTCTTCCTGTAGGACCTTATAGAACCTTTAAAATGTACTGCAAATCTCCAAGAGGGGAATATTAGAGCTTGCTATGTTTCTCAGGCTAATTTGACCAAGAAAGCCTTTTCTTTTACAGAGCATCTCATGGATTCATGTTTGGTAGGCGATAATGTGGGAAGTGCTAACTTAGGGATTAAAAAAAAAAAAACCTCTTTTTTACATCATTTACATGTCAACCATGTTTTTTGAGTATGATCTTCACATAGATGTCCAAAGAAGAATTGAAAAATATTCTTGCTGCATCAGAAATATGTTGACAAATCATCTTTTGGGGTAGGTTAAATTAACTACTGCTTTACCATACCTCTTTTATTCTTTAGATCATTATGTGGATTCTCGGGATCAAGGTCTTCTAGTTAAAGGCCATTAGGAGCATGGCTGTAGTTAACAAAATTGAGTTTATGGGCTTCTTGTATCCAGAAAAAATGCATACCATTGGAAACTGGGATGTCTCAGGAAAGAGTATTAGTCAGGAATTATATATGTTATAGGATTTGTGCTTGTATTAGGTAATTTGAGGGTAAGATTCAAGGAAGTAGGACTTTGCAGAAGCAAATGTGGTTTTTAGTTCTTCTAATAGACTCTGAAAACAGGGACCCAGATTATCATATTCAAGCAATGAAAATATGTCCCCCCAAATCTGTGTGTTATTTTCTAGATGTCCAATAGGCTTTCCTCCCATAGTCATGGGCTGCTCCAATTTCTCTTTAGCTAGCTAAGAAGAGATTAAAGGCTATATGATTATCCATGACAACTCTGCCTTACAAATTTCAATTTAAACCTAGGCTTCCAGAGCAGAAGTAGTATAATTTATGACTTTCTCCAGGCTCAGAGGCAAGTTTTAGATGGTACTTTCCACTTTTAGTAGTCATTGCTTGCATAGTGTCATTTTAAGTGTCCACTTGACTGGACTAAGGAACACCTGGAGAACTTGTAAAGCATGATGTCTGCGTATGCCTGTGAAGGTGTTTCCGGAGATTATCGTGTAAATCAGTGGACTGTGTAGAGGACCTCTGCCCTCAATGGGTGGGCACTGTCTAATTGGCTGGGGGCCAGAATAGAGCAAAAAAGAAGATAAAAGGATTTGCTCTCTCTTCCTCCTGGCCTTGGATATTAGAACTCCAGGCTCTCTGGCCTTAGAACTCTAGGACTTTCACTAGTGGGCCTCCCAGGTTCTCAGGCCTTCAAACTGAGCCTGAGAATTACACCTGGTTCTAAGGCCTTCAAACTTGGATGGAGCCACGCTGCCAGCATCCCAGGGTCTCTAGCTTGCAGACGGCCTGTTGTGGGATTTCTCCGCCCCCATGATGTGTAAGCTATTTCCCCTAATAAGTCTCCTCTCATCTCTTTCCCTCTCTCTCTTTCTCAATTATTATCTATTATCTGTCAATTATCTATCATCTATCAATTATCTATCAATCGTCTACCATCTATCTGTCTATTAATCATTTATTATCTATCATCTGTCAATCATCTCTCAATTTTCTATAATCTATCATCTGTCAATCATCTGTCATATATCTCTCTATTATCTACCTATTATCTATCAATTATTTATCAATCATCTATCTTCTATCACTCTCTCTATCTTCTATAATTCTATAATATCCTATTGGTCTGTCTGTCTGAAGAAGCTTGACTAAAATACACAGTATGCAACACAAGAATTCAGCCTTCCATCTGGAGAGTTTTCTTTCCTGTGCTTGCATTTTTCGGAGATTTCTTTCCATTCTTTTTGGGGAAACATGATCCACTAGAGGGGTGGTAGTTTTAAACAACTGAAATTCTCTAACAATTTTCCTGAATACACAGGAGAGTTAGTGTGTGGCAGGTAGGTGTTAGCCTTATGTCCACCTGAGAAGGACTGTCCTGGTGAAGCAGAAACTATTAATAGTGGAAAATTTAAAAATCGTTAATTACAAAAGGAATTCACCTTTTTCTTTATTTGGTCATGGTTAGAGGGTGTTACTAGAGGTGGGAAAATTCCTTCAGTGAAATCAAACAAGTACTGCTAAGCAGGCTGGAGTGTGTCTGAGTAACTCTTTTTACCCAGGATAGGCCTAATCTTTGTTCTCACTCCTGAAGGATTAGGTTTTGCTGATAGGCTTGTCAGGACCTCAGCAGAAGTATTTTGCTGGAGTCCAGTGGTGCAATAATGGCTCACTATAGCCTCAACCTCCTGGGCTCAAGCAATCCTCCTGCCTCAGCTTCCCAAGTATCTGAGGCTCACCATCTATTTTATAGGGGTTCTTGTAGCATCAAGAGACCTATTCTTTTTAAAAGCATTTTGAATTCATGGACTAATCCCAAATCATATGCCTATATCAGGGTATAAGTATTTTTTTTTTTTCTTTTGTCAGCTGGCAGGTCTGGATGAGGGCAATTAATTTTGCCATCTGAACTTATTTTATGTCTAGGTAAAGCTCACATTACTTTTGAAATATAAGCTTTACCTAAACTTGCTATCACCAAGTCAGTGATAGCATAGTCTCCTAGGCAATTTTTAGTTTTTGTTTGTTTGTTTGTTTAGTCTGAACCAACAACAAGCAAAGTTAAATTGAGGATATCCAAGGGAGTCTATAGAAGGTCCGTGCAATGTGTGGAGAGTTCCTCAAGAGAGGTAACCAATCATCGGCTTCTTTTTCTACAGATGAAGGAAGGAGGGTCATTTGGGTTTAGAGTGTTACAGTGATTAATATATTTGAAGGGGAACCAACAATATTTCTTAGGAGATAGAGTGACTAGCTGAAAAATCCTGAGTTATATCTAGCAATAAAATAGCAGGATAATTATTAGGGTTAGTGTAGATCCTAGAACTAATTTGACCAAATCACTCCAGCTTCCACAAGCTTTGCTGCAGCTGCTAGAGCTCTTAGATGAGACAACTATGCTGTGGCTACTGGAGCTGATGAAAGACTGAAATAAACAATAGATTTCTGATGAGTCCCACGTTATTCAGTCAAAGCTCCTAGTGTTTGTTCCGACTTTTCATAACAAAAAAAAAAGGAGGGGGTTGCTAATTGAGAATCCTGGAAAAAGATATTTTGATACACAGTTATTAGAGCAATCTTTGTGCTTAAATAGGAGTATTCTTTTTTAACTCAAAAAAAGTATATAATCCTTGAAAGATATTTATATTTGCATATTTTAAATATAACTTAGAAAAAATATTTTTATTAGCTTTTTATTACTAAGTTTGGTAAACAAAAGAGCTTTCATAATGCTTTTAAATTAATTTAAATTCAAAGGATATTTGAATATGTAATTATTCCCATTGTCCTTCCTTTCATAGGATGACAAAACACATCTTGTGTTACCTAATAGCCATTACAATAAACCCAAAGATATCATAGGCACAAAAGACATATTAATAGCTTGATTATTTTGAATTTGGGAAAGAATCAAGAATAGTTGTTCCAGGAGACAAGATATAAGTCATAAGTATCTAGAGTCCAGAAATAATTACAGATGGCATTGTAAAAACACACAGCAATTCACAATAGTCATTAGAAACAACATTTTATCAAAGCAAGGGGTCTTTTAAAAATAATTTAAAAGTGTCAAAAGCACTACACTGAAAGTTAATGGAATATTTTATTGACAAAAAATTTACTAATATGAACATAGCAAAACTTATTTTTATATTTAAAAAGACTCAAATTCTAATTTTACTGTTTTGTACATTATTCTTGTAACAGTCTACAGGAGACAATTTATTAATATGCTGTTACCTGTATGCATTTAGGCATCACAGATATGTAAATATACACATAGGTAATACATTTTAAATGTTTAACTACAGCTTTAAAATTAAATCTATTAGGTAAAATTATATGTATGTCGAAATAAAATTTACCCTCTGAATAAATGGTTTCAACTTTCCTGTACACAGAAAATCATATTTATTATCCTGTATGTATATTTGTGTTTTGCTGTATTAAACATTTATATTAATTATCATCTTTAACCAAAGTAATTAACCTTTCTTTTCTTTAGGCACAAAATAAAAAGGAGAGAAAACAGAACTTATTTAGACTTTTTTTTTGTCTACTGGCATTTATTTCATAGAATTTAAACAATTTCAATATATAAATATATGATGTCATCCAAAGGAATTGCATATTTTGTTAATCTATTGTCATTTTAAGAAATGAAAGTAATTATATTTAATGACCGGGTTTTTATATTTCTTATTTAGAGATTGTCTAGGCATCCAAAGGATTGTTATCAATTAACCATTTGTCTAAGGCCTTAAAGTTAGTTAAGGATCAGGAAATTACAATTTTAGTTAACAAATGAAATCTTATGATTTGTAGCATTGTAAGAATTTCATAAAAATTATAAAGGCATTTATTATTATCATTCGCTTTAGTTTAATACAATTTCATATGTATTAAACTAAAATTCTAAATTTTAAATAAGTTTTATAAATAGTGGAATCTCGTTGAATTCATAGAACTAATGTAGAAAATTCAGTTTAATAAAAAAAAATTTAACTCTGGTCTTATAGAAACCAAAATATTGGGGTGACACTAGTTTCTATATTAAAGTAATTTTTGAAGACTCTGAATCATGCCAAAAATGTAATCTTTTGACTTACAGATAATGCCTTTTCTTCTTTGCTCATGACTGTAATAAAGGCTACTATGTAAATATACTGTTAGTGCCCACAGAAATAGAGTTTAATAACATTTTTCCCTTTTTTTCAGACATTTTGACTATCTGAACTGGATATCCCTGCAATGTGTACATAAAAAGTGAATGACTCATTTGATAAGGTAATGATTAATTTCTGAAGAGAGGGGAAAAGAAAGGGGGGGAAATAAAGGGGAAAAAAGGAAAAGAGAGCCTGCTACAGATGAATATGAAATCAACACCCCAAAAGGCTAATTATGTTCCCTCTGAAAAGAGAAGGAGGAAGGTTTATATGTAAAAGAATAGCTTTTGAAATATAAAAAGAGCGACATTAAAATTGATTTAAGCCCTTGCTGATTTTATTGATTAACCAGCGCTTATTAATTCTCAAAGTATGGAAATAAAAGGAGGGACTCTCACCAACTTTAAAGAAAAGAATCACTGTTAGACAAGTAAGACAATCTTCTCTTGAAGGTTTCTTCATGCTTCTCTGAAGTGCCTCTAAACAATCATGTTTATATCAAAAGTTCCTCAAGGTGGCCATTGCAATCCCATATTGTCCTTGGTGAAACTGTGCCAGTCGTAGAGATAAACATGCATGTTTGTGTTACGGTGAGGAAATCAGAAAGAAAACTGGCATCTGGCCTGGAAGAAGTGCAGTTTTAGGTTGAGTGAAGCCCATCAGAGATGCAGTGGTCTGTAAGGGTGGCACCTGTCTGACCTTGATTCGCTGATCTTGAGTCTCCAGAATTTGAGCAAAGGTCAGTTGTCTACAATGAGGGCTGAGAAACGAAATAAAGTAGTTCTCAAGGTCACAAAGATAAGACAGAGGAAGTCCTTACAAGTTTTGAAATGGTGACCTCACACAAAGTTTATCCAAAGGACAAAGTTTGTCCAAAGCATGTCAGACCTGAATTCTCAGTCCCTGGAGCCAGAGAACAGACTTATGGGGACTTTGCTTTTGCTTTTCTTACAGACTTTTCCTTGTATAGACGAACAACACTCAGGACAACAGACAGATCATAGAACAGGGTCCCACATGCATGCATCCTTACTGAGTCAAGGATACTTGCTCAAGGAAGCAGGGACTTCAAAAGAATCTCATGAAACTCCATTTCTGTTAATTCTTCAGAGCCCAAGACCACCAGAAACACTCCTGTAATGGAACAAGTTGGCTTTATTACTAATTGCAACAAGGTTTTTGAAAGCTTTCTCTCATCTTCCTGGGGATCACCTCTCCAGGTGTACAGAGACAGCGTGCGTAGGTTGTGGGGAAATGGAGAGGAAGGGCAGCTTGCTTCCCTACGTGAAAATCTAAGTGTTTTCCTAAACACAAGCACTATTGAGCAGTTTCTAGATGAAATTTTGCAATCAAAATTTTGCAAACAAAATTGAACAAAATTTTGTTCAAGCCACACCTTTTTTTTTAAATTCCATTTTGAGATGATTAGAGATTCCCGTGCAGATGTAAAAAAAAAATAAAGAAATCTCTTGTACCCTTTCTCCCAAAGGTGACGTCTTGCAAGACCATGGTGTATCAGAATCCGGCTTTGTTTTGTTTTTGTTTGTTTATTTGTTTTGAGTCAGATTCTCACTTCATCACCCAGATCAGAGTGCAACGGTTTGATCACAGCTCACTTCAGCCTTGATCTTCTGGGCCAGGCGTCCCCAAACTACGGCCCCCACCGGCCGCATGCGGCCCCCTGAGGCCATTTATCCGGCCCCCCGCCGCACTTCAGGAAGAGGCACCTCTTTCATTGGTGGTCAGTGAGAGGAGCACAGTATGTGGCGGCCCTCCAGCGGTCTGAGGGACAGTGACCTGGCCCCCTGTGTAAAAAGTTTGGGGACGCCTTTTGGGCTTAAGTGATCCTCTCATCTCAACTGCCCAAGGAGCTGGAACTCCAGGCATGCTCTACCATGCCCAGAGAATCAATTTCCCTTCCTTCCTTCCTCTCTCCCTCTTTTCTCTTTTCTTTTTTTTCTTTTCTTTTCTTTTCTTTCTTTCTTTCTTTCTTTCTTTCTTTCTTTCTTTCTCTTTCCTTCTTTCCTTCTTTTTCTTTCCTTCCTTCCTTCTTTCTCTTTCCTTTCTTTCTTTCATTTTATTATGAAGTATAACATTTTCCTTCCTTCCTTCCTCCCTCCCTCCCTCCTTTCCCTCCCTTCCTCTCTCCCTTCCTCCCTTCTTTTCCTTCTTTTTCTTCTTTTCTCTCTCTTTGCTTTCTTCCTTCCCCTTTCCGCTTTCCCCTTTCCTTTCCTGTTTCCTTTCCTTTCCCCTCCCTCTCCCCCCTCCCCCCTCCTCTCCTCTCCTCTCCCCCTTGCTTGCTTGCTTGCTTGTAGAGACATGGTCTCACTATGTTGCCCAGGCTAATTTCTAACTTCTGTACGTTCCAAATACTGGCATTGATACAGGTATGATGCAGAACATTTCTGTCACCACAAGGATGCCTCAAACTTCTCGTTTTAGCTACCTCTACTTCCCTCCCACCTTCACCACCTTCTTAATTCCTGGCAGCTACAAATCTGTGTTCTCCATTTCTATAATTTTTTCAATTCAAGGATGTTATATAAATGAGATCACGCTGTATAATTAGTTTTCATTTTCATATAGCTTAGCTACATAGAGGTCTATTCTAGTTACTGAATGTATTAATGGTTCACTTCTTTCATTGCTCAGTAGAATTCCATGTACCACAGTTTGTTTAACTATCGAAGACTATCTGAGTTATTTCCTGTTTGTGGCTATTACAAATAAAACAGCAGTAATCACTGATGTATAGGATTTTATTTTCCTGAGATAAATGCCCAGGAGTATAATTACTGGAATGCATGGTAGTTGCATGTTTAGTTTTTTAGGAAATAGTCAAATTGTTTTCCAGAATGACTATCATTTTACACTTTGACCAGCAATGTCTGAGTGATCCAGTTTCTCTGTATTTGGTGTAGTCACTATTTTTTATTTTAGCCATTCTAATAAGTATGTAGTAATATCTTATCATGTTTTAATTTGCGTTTCCCTAATGGCCAGTAATGTTGAACAATTTTTCATGTGCCTGTATGCTATCTGTATATCTTCTAAAGTGTTTGTTTCTATCTTTTGCCCATTTTCTAATTGGAGTTTTTTATTTGTTTGTTTGTTAGCTTGTTTTACTGTTGATTTTCAAGAGTTCTTTATATATTCTAAATAATTCTGTTTTGATAAGTGGTTTGCAAATATTCTCTCCCAGTCTGTAGCTTTTATTTTTATCTTAACAGAGTATTTTGTGGGGCAAACATTTATCATCTTGATGAGCTCCAGTTTATCAATGTTTTCTTTTACGGATCATGTTTTGGTGTCAAGTCTAAGAACTCTTTGCCAGTCCTAGATCCCAAAGATTCTCTCTAATTTTTTTTTCCTAAAAATTGTATAGTTTTACATTCTACGTGAAGTCCATGCTGCACTTTAGTTAATTTTTGTATAAGGCATGAGGTTTAGTTTAAGGTGTTTTTTTTTTTTTTTTTTTTTTTTTTTGCCTATGGCCATCCAATTGCTCCAGTGCCTCTGAAAAGACTATCTTTCCTCCACTGAATTGTTTTTGCACTTTTGTGAGCACTTAAAAGCCTGAATATTCTGCTTTTGTTGGATGAACTGTTTTATAAATGTCAATTTGATCCTGTTGGTTGATGGTGTTTTTAGTTTCTTTATGCCCTTGCTGAGTTTTTATCTATTTGCTTCATCAATTGCTGAGAGAGGGTCTTGAAGTCACCAAATATTTCTCCTTTCAGTTTTTTTAGTTTTGCAAACTCTGTTGTTTGGTGCATACCCATTTAGAATTGATATGTCTTCATAGTGGTTAAACCCTGTTGTTATTATGTAGTGTCCCTCACTGTCTCTGGCAATGTCCTTTGCTTTGAAGTCCACTATATCTGATACTAAAAGAGCCATTCCTGATTTCCTTTGATTTGAATAACATGCATTTTTTCATCTTTTTACTTTCAACCAGCCAATACTGCTATTTGAAGTGTTTGTTATAGGCAGTACACAATAGGGCCATTTAAAAAATGTATTTTAATCCTCTATCTTTTAATTGGTATATTTAGACTACTTATATTTAATGTAATTATTGATGAATCAGGGGTGTCTGCAATTTATTTTTTGTTTTCTGTTTTTATTATCTGTTTTCTTTTTCCTGCCTTGCTGTTGGTTATCTGAACACTTTTTGAATTCTATTTGTATTTATCTGTAATGTTTTTGAGTATATCCTTTTGTATATCATTTTAGTGGATGCTCTAGATATTTCTCTCTCTCTCTCTCTCTCTCTCTCTCTCTCGCTCGCTCGCTCTCTCTCTCTCTCTTGCTCTCTCTCTCTCTCTCTCTATATATATATATATATAATATATATATAAAACAATAATCTATTCACATCATCATTCTACCAGTTCAAGTGAAGTATAGAAAACTTACCTCCTTTTATGTCTCTTTACCTTCCCTCATTTATAATACAATTATCTTAATAATTCCTCTACAACCATTTAAAACCAGTCAGACAGCATTAACATTTTTGTTTCAAAATGCTAAGTGTAACCTAGACTCTAAAAGAGATGGATAGCCTATTGTATTTACCCATATTTTGGCTTACCATGTTCTTATTTTCTAATGCTCTAAGGTTCCTTCTTTTATTAAGTCCTTTCTGTTTAGAGAACTTCCTTTTTTTTTCTTTTGAGAAGGAGTTTCACTCTTGTTGTCCAAGCTGGAGTGCAATTGCACAATCTCAGCTCATTGCAACCTCCACCTCCCAGGTTCAAGCAATTCTCCTGCCTTAGCCTTCCAAGTAGCTAAGATTACAGGTGCCTGCCACTATACCCAGCTAATTTTTATATTTTTAGTACAGATGGGGTTTTACCATGTTGGCCAGACTGGTCTTGAACTCCTGACCTCAGGTGATCCACTTGCCTCAGCCTCCCAAAGTGCTGGGATTACAGGCATGAGCTACCACACCTGGCCTAGTCATTCTTTTAAGATAGGTTTACTGGCAACAAAGTCTTAGTTTTCCATCATCTGAAAAAGTCTTGATTTTCTCCTTGTATTTGAAAGATATTTTTGCTGGATGTAGAATGCTAGGTTGACAGGTCTTTTCTTTCAGCATTTGAGAAATATGTCATTTTCTTCTGTGCTCCACAGCTTCTGATGAGAAATCTGCTATTCAGTAGTTTTAGGTTCACAGGGAGGTATTCATGTCAACATGGGCACTAGGTCATAAGTTCCCTAGTTTGAAGCTTCAGCTTCTGCCAAACAAATTATGGCTATTCTACATTCTATAAATCAGAAAATGTAAATTTATTATGAAATATAATGCAGCATATAGTAAAGACTTAACCAAAATTTTAAAACTCAACTTTCAAAGAAAAGATGGTATTGCTCCCTGTTTTATGAAAACCTAGAGAGAGATAATCAGTAAGCAAGAAGGAAAAAGGGAAATTCACAAAGTAACCTTTTGTGTCTGTTTCTTTTTAACCCAGGATGGAGAGAACATTTATGTCCTTACATCCGTCCATCTCCTTATCAGAAATGGAACCAAGTGGCACCTTCAGCAATAACAACAACAACAGTAACTGCACAACTGAAAACTTCAAGAGGGAATTTTTCCCAATTGTATATCTGATAATATTTGCCTGGGGAGTCTTGGGAAATGGCTTGTCCATATATGTTTTCCTGCAGCCTTATAAGAAGTCCACATCCGTTAATGTTTTCATGCTAAATCTGGCTATTTCGGATCTCCTGTTCATAAGCACACTTCCCTTCAGGGCTGACTATTACCTTAGAGGCTCTAACTGGATATTTGGAGACCTGGCCTGCAGGATTATGTCTTATTCCTTGTATGTCAACATGTACAGCAGCATTTATTTCCTGACCGTGCTGAGTGTTGTGCGTTTCCTGGCAACTGTTCACCCCTTTCGGCTTCTCCATGTCATCAGCATCAGGGGTGCCTGGATCCTATGTGGGATCATATGGATCCTTATCATGGCTTCCTCAGTAATGCTTCTGGATCATCCCACTGAGCAGAACAGCAGTACTACATTATGTTTAGAGCTGACTCTCTATAAACTTACTAAGCTGCAGACCATGAACTATATTGCCTTGGTGGTGGGCTTTCTGCTCCCATTTTTCACACTCAGCATCTGTTACCTGCTGATCATTCGAGTTCTGTTAAAAGTGGAGGTCCCAGAATTGGGGCTGCGAGTTTCTCACAGGAAGACACTGATCACCATTGTCCTCGCCTTGATCATCTTCTTCTTGTGTTTCCTGCCCTATCACACACTGAGGACACTCCACTTGGTGACCTGGGAAGTGGGTATATGCAAAGACAGGCTGCATAAAGCTTTGGTCATCACACTGGCCTTGGCGGCAGCCAATAGCTGCTTCAATCCTCTGCTCTATTACTTTGCTGGGGAGAATTTTAAGGACAGACTAAGGTTTGCACTCAGAAAAGGCCATCCACAGATGGGAAAGATAAAGTGTGGTTTCCCTGTTAGTGTGTGGTTGAAAAAGGAAACAAGAGTATAAGGAGTTCTTAGATGAGACCTGTTCCTTTATCCCTGTGTCCATCTTCATTCACTCATAGTTTCCAAATGACTTTGTATTTACATCATTGCCAACAAATATTGATTGATTCTTAATATTTAGTTGACCATGACTTTTGTTAATAAGACTTACTTCAAAAATTTTATTCAGTGTATTTTCAGTTGTTGAGTGTTAATGAGGGATACAAGTTGAGGGATACAAGAGGAAAAATCCCTACTAGAGTCCTGTGGACTGAAATATCAGACTGGGAAAAAATACAGAGCACATTGGATCCTACTTTTCTTCAGATCCTGAACAAGATCTGTGGCCCATCAGGCTTTCTATATTCTTCAAAACAGCCACAACTTCCCCAGCTTCTACAGCTCCCCTGCCCTCTTCAAACCCCTGAGATATAGCCAACTAACAATGCTACTGGAAACCCCAGAGCAGACAAGAAGCGCATCCTAAGATTCAGGGAAAGACTAACTGTGAAGAGGAAGGCTGTCCTATCAAAAACAGCATTAAGGTCCCAAGAAAGAACAGTGAGAGAAAAGAGGGGAGAAGGATTAGAACAAAAGAGAACTGGTGATAAGTAGGGGAAGGAAGAATTTCATTTTGCACTGGGAAAGGAGTTCTAACACACTGAAGGCAACACTATTTCTATTGTTTCTCTCTTGCCAGGGTATTAGGAAGGACAGGAAAAGTAGGAGGAAGATCTGGGACATTGCCCTAGGAAATGGAAGAATTGTGTGTAGAATGGGAGGGAGAACATCAAGGTCACGTATCTCAATTTTTTTTTTGAGATGTAGGTTAGTTGACCTTGCTTCTGTTCTTCTTCCCATTAATTCACTGGGATGGAAGCCAAAAATAAAAGAGATATCTCTGGGCGTTGGGGTTGGGCACGCAAAGGAAAGATGGAGTAGAAGGCAAGTTGCAAAGGTTGTTGCACCCCTGAAATTCTATTAACATTTTGGCAGATGATGAGTAGGGTGATGCTGTCTTCCCTCTTAAGACAGTAGAAAAATGCTAGGTAGTGTAAGAGATGCCTTTCTGTCCTCTGAAACAAGGCTAAGGATACTACCAACTACTACCACCATGACCATTGTACTGCCAATAATTGAGTGCACTGCCCCTGCTAGGCAGATTATGCCAGGCACTTTGCATTCATTAATCCCATTTGACATGCACATACAAAGCTCTGAGTTTCCATTTTACAGCTGAAGAACTTGAAGCTCAGAAAAATTAAGAAACTTGTTTAAGTTTACACAGCTAGTAAGAGTTCTCTGTGCAGAAGTATTGGCAGGGTGCTCTCCCCACTGCTACCCTTGTAAACTTCCAGGAACATTGAAAGTCTGAATAAAAGCTCTCCTCTCCTACCAGCTTCCTCCCCCTCTTCACTTTCACAAGAAAACCAAGGTTTTGTCCTTAGAGTTGTTGACTCCTGGCACAGTAAAGGGTGAAGGTGACATGGCATTCTGAAGGTTGGGAGGGACTAAATTAGTCTGCCTACTAAACACAAATCCTAGTACCCTTCCCTTATTTAGCTACCAGAATGATGACAGACAGACTCAAATCCTGTCAAGACAAGACCCTGTGGAGGATCCTCCTATGGAAAACTGCATAATCTGAGGAAAAAGGTTGATTGATACAGATAGCTGGGGATCCTTCAACACAAAATCTGGGTGTCTGCCCTATTACTCACCTCACAATGAAGCCCACAGTGCAACAAATCCATTCTACTCACAGCATTTGGTCAACCGGTCAGAGCCTCATTCTTAATGATGAACAACAGTCAATGACCACAGTACGTTTGAGGAAAAGGCCCTAACATGGAAAGCACCCACAAATAAATGTGAGAGCAGATAGAGACCTTTTAGTATAAAAAGTCTCAGCATTTTCATCACCCTTACACTTTTATCAGAAAGCTAGTGGAGGATGTATTCATCCAAAATAAGAGATTAAAGCAAGATAGAGGAAAACACGATAGCTAGGAAACAAGGAATCCAACACAGGAGAAAGGTGAAGGAAATACCCAGGATGTTGGTGTGTGGCAGGCTCAGAAAGCAACTCATTCATGTTGGAGCAGGATTCTTAAAGGGCTCTAATATGGATGTCTTCCAGAAAAAGAAGAAATTGATTCATACACATTGAGAGGGATTTATATTTCTTTTGGAGAGATTTAGATAAACTAGTGACAAATACATAGAAAAACAAGCAAGTGAAAACAAAATACAGTTATTAAATGCTAGAGGAAAAGAAATTTTTGTGTTAGGAAATATGACCATAGTACACTACATGGCTCAGCTGTGAATAATATTTACATAGTGAATAATGTGACTATAGTAGTCTCCCATTATCTGTGATTTTGCTTTCTTCAGTTACTCATGGTCAAACAGTCTGAAAATATTAAATGGAAAATTTCAGAAATAAACACGTCTTAAGATTGTGTTTGTTTGTTTGTTTTTTCCTATTAGCCAAGAGACTGTCAGTCAAGAACAAGTCTTAAGTTTTAAAACACGTGCTATTCTGAGTAATGTGTTGAAGTCACACACTGTCCTACTCTACTCATGTTCTGGGCAGGGAAAAATGGGATGGTGTGAGATTTCTCCAGCGGATCCACAATATATATGCTACCTACCCATGAGTCACTGAGTCATCATCCAGTTGATCAAACCAACTATTATGGTGTAATAGTGCTTGTGTTAAACTCACTCTTATTTTACTTAATAATGACCCCAAAGCATAAGAGTAATGATGCTAGCAAATAAGATACACCAAAGAGAAGCTGTAAAGTGCTTCCTCTAAGAGAAAAGGTGCAAGTTCTTGACTTAATAAAGAAAGAAAGAAAAAAATATGCTGAGGTTGCTAAGATCCACAGTAAGAACAAGTCTATCTGTAAAACTGTGAAGAAGGCAAAAGAAATTTGTGCTAGTTTTGCTGTTGCACCTCAAGCTGCAAAAACTATTTGTCACACTTCACAGTGTATGATAAATGCTTAGTTAGGATGAAAAGGTATTACATTTATGGGTAGAAGACATGAACAGTAATGTTTTCCAATTGACAGCAGTCGAGTTTGGTACTATTCATGGTTTCAGGAACCCATTGGGGTTCTTGAAATGCATCTCCCACAGATAAGTGGGGTGGGGTGGGCTGCTAGAGTGAAATACTGTGATATAACCTTTTTTCAGAAAATAAAGGGAGAAGATATGCACGTGTGTGGGAGAGGCATAAGAAACCTAAGTTGCCATCTTTCATCACAGAAAATGCATAATAACTAAAGCTGGAAAATGATGAATAGCTCTACAACCATTTTATTTAGCAGTAAGAGGTAAATACAGGTAGAAAAAGAAGAAAGAATGGGCAGAGATTACCTCTGTGGAGAAGTTGGAGGTGGGAGGATAGGGTGGGGACTTCTCATTTTAAGAACTGTGTAATTGCCTAACTTGTGAATAGGTATTTCTGAAGTAAAATAAAAATTAAGTTAAAATTTTAAAATTCAAACTAATTCTGAGTTGGTTTTTTTAAACAAAAACAAAAAGTGAAGACAAGAAAAGCTGCCAGAAATGGAAACTGAACACTGACAGAAGAAAGCAAAGAGGGAAAAGAATTAGAGTTGCGTTTGGGTTCTTGAGAGAAGCCCATCTATTCCTGATATGGGAGGCAAGTCCTCTCTTGAGGGGAGGAAAGTCACTTTCTGGGGTTAGAGGAGATTTGGTACGTTACTTGGGATATTTTTAGTTGCAAGTAACAGAAAACCCAACCCCAAGTGGTTTACATAATAAAGAGATTTGATTATCTCATATAACTGAAATATACTAAGGGAAGTTGGACTTCAGGCCCTGTTCAACCAGGGCTTCTGTGGGCCTTCCTCCCCAGATATTGGCTCTGCCCCATGGCTGAATCCCCTCACAGAAACAAGCCTACTGCAAGCATCCTGAGGCTACGTACTTCCTTATTTGTTTCTAAAACAAACTAATAAAGAATGGATTACTCTGAATGAGGATGATGACAGTACACACCTAAAGTAGTTGAGGTGAAACCCACTGAAATCTCAGCTGGAAAAGGGGTGAAATGGAGCTTGCAGAGGGCACGTATGTCCTGCAAATGAGGTGGAGAGAGAGCTGTTTACCAGCCAGGCGTTCACACCAGGTGTGGCCTGTACCTGTTCAGGCAGCAAGGCAGCTTTGGAGGGTGGGGGAAAATAATGGGCTCTAGGAAGAAGGGCAAAAGCGAAGTTTTGAGTTTCTGTTGTGAAGTCATAGGGATTTTCAACTGACAATAAGAAACCTTAACAACGTTCCAAGGGCAAATGGCCCAAATAAAGCTGGGAGTAACAGAGCAACCAAGGTCCTTAGGGTAAGCAATAAGGGAGGGGTTGTGAATTATTAGTGTCTGTGGTGTGTGTATGAGAGAGGGAGAGAGAGAAAGAGAGAGAGAGAGACAGAGACAGACAGACAGACAGAGGTGTAATGACTTACTTTTCCTTTTTCCAGCCAGAGTAAAGCCTCCTATTTGTTGAGCAATGTCCTTGGAGAGGAAAGAAAATGGAAGTCTTTGTTTACCATAGCAAAAGCCAGAAGTGTCCCGGGGTTTTAGACACAGTTGTTTTTGTTTGAGAGAGTAGGTATTTCCTCAAGCAAATACATACACTGTGCAACTGGGAGAAAGGATTTTTGTTGTGTAAACTTCAGTGGAATTATGAGACTGGACTGTGCTTTCTCAGTGGGGACCTAAGAAGTGAAAGCCATGATATTTTGTAACTGTGTTAAATGACCAATTCTTTATTTTGGATTTGGATTTTCAATTTATTCTGAAGTAGAGATTATGTCAAACTGGCCGAAGATGGGTTAAGAGAGGACATGGCTTTCTATAAATAATTTATTTTTGTTTGAAAAGAATTTGAAAATAGAGACCCAATCAGGGGAAAATGAGAGTGGGGAGATGAAAGCAGCTGCTTGGGGCACCAGGAGAAATATCATGAGAAAAAAATCTGTTAGAATGGTAATATGTATTTAAAAGCTCTAATAGGTTTTCTTAAAGTATCGCATTGGCATAAGAATCCACAGAGAGATTAAAGAAACAGCGTGGACACAGATGCTAATTTATCTGGGGAATTTGAAAAGCCTCAGAAGGGGTGGCTGCATGATGTGCTGAGGAGGCTAAATTCTAAGCCCAAGAACCTCCATCTGCAACCCCCGAAGACCCCTGCATCCCAAGGGTGGGGTGACTGCAGGGAGGACCTGCGGCTTAGATCAGTGGACCAGTGTGGACCGGTGGCCATCAGAGGAGCCTCCCTAGGGAGCTGGTTCATGTATGGCCTCAGGATCTTTGCATAACCTTCAAGTTAGGGAAAAACAAACCGTCGTGTCACTCTCAAATTGGAGAGCCGTTGTAACACCAAGACTGAATTTCCCATTAGCTTAGTGAGACAGGTGCTTAAAGTTTGATATAAATTGATGTAACTTAATGTTCTTAATATTAAGTATGATGCCTTGGAGCCATCTGGGCTAGAAGTTTCTATTTATTCTGGGCCTGTGGCCCTGGAGAAATTTCTCAGAGAGGTTCTGTCTGACTGCTCCAGCACAGTGTTTCAGCTCACAGTTTATATACAGACTATGGCGGTTTAGTATGTAGAGGATCACATCAAACTTGCTCAGACGTTATATCAAAGCAGAATGTTCAGGTATAAGAGCACCTGGTTATAGATTTTTTTTTTTTTTTTTTTTTTTTTTTTGAGACAGAGTTTCGCTCTTGTCTCCCAGGCTGGAGTGCAATGGCACAATCTCGGCTCACTGCAACCTCTGCCTCCCAGGTTCAAGTAATTCTCCTGCCTCAGCCTCCCGAGTAGCTGGGATTACAGGCACCTGCCACCACGTCAGGCTAGTTTTTGTACTTTCGGTAAGATGGGGTTTCCCCACATTGCCCAGGCTGGTGTCAGACTCCTGACCTCTGGTGATCCACCCGCCTCAGCCTCCCGAAGTGCTGGGATTACAGGCGTGAGCCACCGCCCCCGGCCAGTCCATATTCATGCTGCTGATAAAGACATAAGAGAGATTAAGCGGTTAACAAAAGAAAGAGGTTTATGGGACTTTCACTTAAACATGACTGGGGAGGCCTCACAATCATGGTGGAAGGCGAAAGGCACATCTCACATGACAGCAGACAAAAGAAGAGAGCGTATGTAGGGAAACGCCTGTTTGTAAAACCATCAGATCTCCTGAGACTTATTCACTATCATGAGAACAGTACTGGAAAGACCCAACCCATGATTCAATTACCTCCCACCAGGTTCCTCCCCCAACATGTGGGAATAGTGGGAGTTTCAATTCAAGATGAGATTTGGGTGTGGACACAACCAAAACATATCACCCTGAAGCAA